TGGTCATGAGAACCTCTAATTTACAGCTAGTGTGTCAGAAGCACAGGTGACAACCTGGACTGCCACTGGTATCTGAAGTGGCGGCATTCTTGTGGTACTGAGCCTTTAACTTGTGGGATCTGATGCTAACTCCCAGGTAGACAATGTCAGAACTGAACTGAATTGTAGCACATCCAGTCACTGTCTGCTGGAAAACTGAACTGCTGTGGGTAAAATCTGCCATCTGGGGTCAGAAATGAAGAACTGAGACTAGTGATAGCGTTGAGAGAACAGAGTTCTTTTCCGTTCACTACCCCAAGTAGGTTTTTAACTCAAATCATCTCTTAACTCCAGTACTTGAAATGACTTCTGTCCTAGTACTCAATAAGTGTTTGGGGAATAAATGCATTTTCTCAAATACATGATAACTAATTAATTGGTAGCCACGTTCCACAAACACTTATCTAACAGCTAATATGGCTAAATAAAACAAGTAGCATTTCAGCCGCTAGAAGGTAAAGGAGTATATATCTCATGGTGACTCATATTTAGCCATTTAACCGAACAAGATTTTTCAGTTCACTTAAATAGCTTTTGTAACTTAGTTTGAAAATCCAAGAAACATAACCGTGTTCATGTGCAAAAATGTGTTGTTGGCTATTTAAATTCTAATCTGGAGGTCAAAACAGCCATTGTTACCACAGTTAAATTACTTGACCTCAAATACAATTATCAAGACGCCTACATTCACAGGAAAGAAAAACTCAAATTCCTAATCCTGGCATTTAGGACCTCCACAATTAAACCCCAATTTACCTTACAAGCCACTCCTCTTCTACATGCATTCTATACTCCAGCCAAAGTGGAACTCTTCACCTTGCCTCAATGAACTATCTATACCTGCCTCCCTTGGCTTTTATTGTCTACTTTATTAGAAAGTCCCTCCACACAGTTGCGCAAACTCAAATCTAATAAATCCTTTATATATCATTCAAACGTCACCTCTTAATCCTTTCCCACTTCTAGAGGTAATCTTTCCATCTTCTCCACTCCTACAGCACTTTATCTTTTTAAAAAAATTTTTAATGTTTTCTATTTATTTCTGTGAGAGAGAGAGAGAGAGAAAGACTGCGCGAGGAGAGGGCCAGAGAGAGAAGGAGACACAGAATCCGAAGCAGGCTCCAGGCTGAGCTGGCCGGCAGCACAGTGCCCGACGCGGGGCTCGAACCCATGAACCATGTGATCATGACCTGAGCCGAAGTCGGAAGCCCAACCAATTGAGCCACCCAGGCGTCCCCAGCACTTTAGCTTTGACACCATCTGCAACTTCATTTCAAGTGTACATAGTTATATTCTCACCCCATATTAAATAATAAAGGCAAATTCTATATGTAATTAAATATTTCCCGAAGTATGCTCCATGGAATTCACAAAATTAACAAGCAGTATAAAATATAACAATCTTTAATATACTAAGGTATGTTGTAAACTCTAATGAAATAAAGTATGCCCATTTCCAAAACTTATTTGGCCTTTAAACCATTTGGGGTTTTTTGCAGCACATCTCATAGGATTAATATTTCTATGGCATGCCTTTGAGACATGCAGCCTCATTAATCTTGGCATCTTATCTTGAACTGAATAGGTACTCAACAAACATTTGTTGAATGAATGGGTAATTGAATCAATGGTTAACAAAGAGCTCTCCCATAAAGGTAGCCTGCCCAAAAAGAAAACTCCAAGAATGACAGTAGAGAAAAAACAGTAAGAGGTGAGTACAAGGTCCTCCATAATGCAGTAAGAAAAGAGAGGGATACCTGTGACAAAAGAATTTACTACCTCAGCCACTTTTCATATGCAGAGGACATAATCCAAACCACACAGGAATTCCTGTTTACAATGTCCATTTTGAGATATTCATGGAGACAGAATTTTTCAGCATATCTGTCAAAAAGGGTTGAAACTATGAAGATATTCTGGTCAATGTCCAGAACACGTTATTAAAATAACTGAATCAACCTTATTAAATCATATCCTGGAGTTTTATTTTGTTGTATGAGGGTGTTTACATGAAAGAGGAAGTCTCATAGGATCAAGAAGACTTTAAAAGAAAGACAGTGAACACTTTATGAAATTTCATGGATTCAGGGCATAATTTTGTATTGATTTAATCTCATCTTCAATATGGAAAAATGAAAGAATTCAACTTAATAGTGTATTTTTTTTTAATTTTTTTAAAAAATGTTTTATTTATTTCTAGGAGAGAGAGAGACAGCGTGAGCAGGGGAGGCTCAGAGAGAGAGGGAGTGACAGACTCTGAAACAGGCTCCAGGCTCTGAGCTGGCAGTCAGCACAGAGCCCGACGCGGGCTCAAACCCACGAACCGCGAGATCATGACCTAAGCGAAAGTCGGACGCTTAACCGACTAATCCACCCAGGCGCCCCTCAGCTTAATAGTGTATTAAAAGCAGGATGCATAAAAACAAAATATCCTGACTACATCCTGACCTGTTTCCTACAGTTCTCTAGCTGTGTCTAAAAAAGGGAAGAGAAAAAGACACTCCCTAACATGTCCTACAGATCCTATGGTAGTAGCAACAGGAAACAGCAGCGACAACTGAGGTTTGTTTTCTGTTTTCCTCCTCACTCAAAAGCAAAGAGACCAACTTTTCACTTAGGGATGAAAGCTTAGTCAAGAATAGAGTCCACTGTAGGGCTGAAAAGATAAATCCATTTCTTAATCGTTAACTATTAACATTTAACTGTAACTTTTAATGTAATATGCTTTTAATTTTGAGGAAGCAAGAAGAGAAAGTCACATGAATTAAGATCTATGCATGTTTAAGGTTGTCCTATGAACCCTGTGGCCACAGGACTAGTCTGCCATCACTGATAAGTGAATATTACCAGCTACACATAAGGAGTCACTCAGTTACGTTAAATCCGAATTTGGTTTAACTACTTTACTAAATAGCATGACCCTAGAGAGCAAATATATATATTTTCTTCTCAAAAACTACATATATATGTATTTCTCTATCTCCTCCCCTTTACACGGGGTGGGGGGGAAGAAGGGCAGAAATCAGGTATATTTTCAAGTAAGTTAGATGGACTCATGTGGTCAAACACTAAAGAAAAAGAGATATAATATGGTCCAAAACACAACTGGAAATGTCAAGCAGGATTCATTAAGCCACAGGTTAATGCCTTATGAATCAAATAACAAACTAATAGCTTCCTATTAATAGCTGGCTGGTTATATATTTCATTAAGTAAATTAAAGATCTCAACTTCATGAACAGTTTCCTACCTTTATAAGACGAGGAAGATAAACCAAAAAACTACAAAACTATTTGGTATCTTGCCCAGGAACATACAGTAAAAGCTTTTAGCAAAGGAGTGTCTTCCTGCTCCTGAATCAATCAATAAACAGATGGCACAATTATCAAATATGAGAAGTTAATATAATAAATACACCTCCCAACACTTATATCTGAGAACACACAATTACTATTTCCAAATTCTTTCTTGTAATCATAATCCTTCACTCACAAGTTACTATTTGATTATTAGCTATTATAACAATGGTATATGTTATCCCTCTCAACAAAAGCATGATCTATCCAGGAGCTGAAAGAAATCCAAACTACAGCAGCAGTAACATATGAAAAGTTCCCAATTGTAAAAACCGTGGCCAAATTTTACGCCAAAACTGCTGGCTCTTAAGCACAAAAAGAATCCAATCTTCACTTGTGGAGAAATCCTCTATTGTCAACTGTAGTCTTCTCAATTATTGTACTTCGGCTATGAAGCACACGCACTCACAAAAAGGGTCTTTCCTTCCTTTTTCACATCTGTTTTCACTTCTTTCACAAAAGGAGAGCCTTTATCATGTTCCATTGTTTGGTGGTCTAGTTAGAATTTTCCTGGTCTATTCATCGCAACCACCACAGCTTCTTACGTGGGATTTCGCTAAATTAAATGTTAAGTTTCAGAGAGTGAAAACGCTCAAGGAAACACCTTGGGATGCTCATTGTCTCAGGCACTAACGATTCTCCGGCTAGCAGTTAGGTGGTTTTACAATACATTTAAATTCCTGGAGACCCGAACGTGAATGTTTAGTTTCGCCTCCCCCTTCCGTTTGAAGGGCTAAGTGGGCCTTTATTGTCCTAAAACACAGTTCTGCCTTTTCGAATCTGAGGGGAAACTGACAGGCACCTGAGTGCCACTTGTAACGTTCACTAATGGACTAATGTTAATTACTCAACAGCGAGAGGCCCCCAATCGTCCCAATCCCAGGGGGCCCCCTTAGAATATTACGCGAGGATCCAAGCGCCAAGACGTGGCTCGCCCAACCTGGGGCTCCTGGCTCCTCTCTCCGCGCCCTGAGTCAGCCTTTCCCACTTCTCACCCCCAGTGCATCTTCCAAACGCCCAAACCTCCGACGCTCCCCTCCAGCCCTGCGGACAAAACCCACCCTCCTCCTGTGCGAGTCCGGGCCCCCTTCCCTGCCCACCTCCCCACCCGGGTTCCCCCAGCCACCCCTCCCCCATTTCACGCTCCGCCCGCGCGGCCACCAGAGCCGCCACCCCACCCCTCGCCTTTCCCACCTGGCCGCCCAGGGCTGCGCCCGCGCCGCCGCCCGCCCACCTCGCTGCCCGCGCCCCGGGCCTGCCACTCCCCGAGGAGCGGCCGGGACTCACCTCGAAGAGCTCGGCCGTCGTAGCCATCCCGGCCGGCTGAGAGGCTCGCCGCGCAGTAGAAGCCGTCTCCTCTTCACATGCTGCGCCTCAGCGGCGCCGCGCACAGCTCCCCGCTCGGCTCGCCAGCTCTGACTCCGGGCCGCCGCGGGCTCTCCCGCTCCCCACAGAGCCCAGGCGGGGCGGGAGGGCGGCCATGAAGCGAAGGCGCAGACGCCTGTCAGCTGCCTCCCGGCGCCGCCCGCGCCGCTCCCATTGTCACCGCCTCGTACGCCGGAAGTGGAGCTGCGCGCGCCCGGTCGGCTGTCGGGCGGGGCCGGCGAGGGAAGCCGGCAGCCAACGAACCGCAGAGAGGCTCGTTGCTGTGGCGAGTGAGGAATCATGATCCTTGCGGGCCACCGTCCCGGAAGTGGACTGTAGAGGAAGAACGTACCGGGATTGCTGGGGAGGAATATTTCTCGAGATTCTAGATGAGGATTCGCGGAACTTCTGTGGCGTGTGTTGATAGGACGAACTCCAGAGATCTTAGTCACTTTACCCGAGGAGCGAGCGTCTCTGCAGAGCCCGACCTGTTTGTGGTTGGGCCGAAGGTGGCTCAGGTTGAGTGAGCCCCTGGTCTTCTGGTAGAAGTCCATCTGAGAAAGCCAGTCCTTTTTCCTTGGAGACCTCAGGGATGAGCTGATGCTTTAGTGGCTTATCATGGCCCAGCGGGCAGTGTGGCTCATAAGCCACGAGCCGGGAACTCCATTGTGTGGCACCGTTAGATTCTCCAGGTAAATGCAGGTCTGAATTCTCAGGGGTGTTGGATCGGAGGGATGGATGATGTACTGTAGTTTGGGGATGTGTCTTTAGTCCGCCACCTTGGGCAAGTTACTTAACTTCCGTTTCATCTGTTAAATGAAGATTTTAATACTACTACTAAATAGTGTGTGTGAACCAAATGAGTTGATGTTGGGCACACGTTAAACGGGTGTTTTGCAATATTACTACTTTATTTTAAAATTAATTCCACCTGTTTTGGATTGAGATGGAGATGACCAAAGGAAAGAAAGGAAACTTAACTGAGCACTAAGCATGTTTAAAATTTTTCTTTCGTTTATAAAGATCATTCAAGGACATTTTTACCCATACTTCCGGAAAATCTTTGCTGATAAATAACAAAAGTCTGTTATTTTCATATTATGTTTCATTTTTAGAAACTTTCAGATGGATTACTTTAAAATCCTAATTATGGGGGCGCCTGGGTGGCTCAGTCGGTTGGGCGTCCGACTTCGGCTCAGGTCATGATCTCAGTGTTGGTGGGTTCGAGCCCCGTGTCGGGCTCTTTGCTGACTGCCAGCTCAGAGCCTGGAGCCTGTTTCAGAGACTGTGACTCCCTCTCTCTCTGACCCTCCCCTGCTCACGCTGTCTCTCTCTCTCTCTCCTAGAAATAAAAAAAATAAAAATAAAATTTTAATTATGGAAGAAAACTGAAAAAGTACAAAAAATGGAATCGTATTCGCTTTTTCTTAGATGGTGTAAGCTGATCTGGCTCCACTTTTAGAATTTGTCACATTTTATCAGAATAGCTCTGTGATGAGAATTATACAGTAACTCGTTGTAAAATGTAGGCGGCAATTCTGTGACCTCTTGCTTTTTATTCTCAGTGGCTATTGACAGTTCTTTCTTGGCCAACATTGTTTTTCTTCCCTGGGGAAAGCTCTGTAGGGAGGTAGCATAGCTCTGAATTGCATATAAAAATGTGTGTGATTTTAGGGGCGCCAGGGTGGCTCAGCTCATGATTTCATGGGCCCCGCATCCAGCTCTGTGCTGACAGCTCACAGCCTGGAGCCTGCTTCGGATTCTGTGTCTCCCTCTCTTTCTACCCCTCCACGGCTTATGCTCAGTCTCTCTCAAAAATAAATAAAAACATTTAAAAATTTTTAAAGAATTGAGTGTGATTTTAAATGAAAGTGGTTGGCAATGTGGATATGAAAAATTCCCTCCTCACAACCAAAACATTTTTGTTTCTAAGGGTATCAGAGTTAAAGTTAACCATTTTCTCCTAATATACCTGGCTTAGTTTGTTGTTGCTGTACCTCAAGTAAGGAGTTTAATAATAATCTTTGGTATGGTTAATCAGCCTCATTGGTTCATCCAGGTACTTATATATTACTTAGAGTGTCCTTATTTCTGCCACTCTCCTTCTCCTCTCAGCTAACTCTTATATGTTTGTTGCTACTCTTTTAATTTCTGTGTTTGTCTATGTGTTTTTCAAATGACACAATTAAGTGTGCTATAGACTTCATTTCCTGTTCTGCATTTGCCAGACTTCTCAGCACTATTTTAAAGAAACGTCCACATTACTTTGTGTTCATCCAGAGCAGCACTGTCCAATAGAATTCTCTGCAGTAATGGACATGGGAAATGTTCTAAATCCATGCTACATGTAGCTATTGTCCATTGGAAATGTGGCTGTTGTAACTGAGGAATCCAGTCTTGTTTAATTTTAATATAAGTTTAAATCGTCACATGTGGCTAGTGGCTCTGTTTTGGACAGTGCAGATTTAGCCCATTGCCCTGTTGTGCCCTGTGCTTTATTTACATCCTCCATATTTTACCTATACTCTTCCCTTAGTGATGATATCTTAGGTTGCCTTCAACTCAGCCATCAAAATAGTGATGCAGTAGATATCCTCAAAAGGTCCATAGGGCATATCTTTGCTGATTTTGACTAAATATTGCCAAATAATTAGCTCCTCAGAATACTTTAACCAGTCAACACTCTTCTCATCAGCAGTGAGCAAAGCTTCCTGTATCTCCATCCTACCATTTATTCCAGTTTTTGCCAATATTGGTGTAAGGGATATCTTATTTTCATTTGCATTTCTCTGTGTGGCAGTGATTGTTAGCCCTTTGGATTTCCTCTTCTGTGCATTGCTTGTACATATCCTTTGTCCATTTTATCTTTGAGAGTTGCTGTTTGTTTTCCTGTTCATTTGCATGAGTTCATTGCATATTCGTGACATTTGGCCTATGTCATTTTTAGCTACGATAGAAATTTTCTCTCATTTTGTCATTTTCAACTTTATCCCTTGGTTAAATAGAAACCGCTAATTTTATCACAATCGAAGTAGTTAGTACTTTGGGGGATTTGTAGAAGTCTTTCTCTACCCTTATTTCCCAAGCTGTATTCTTAAGTTATCTTCTCATAATTTTATCATTTTGTTTGTCATGTTTAGGTCTTTACTCGTCTTCAGATGTGGTGTTAATAGGGGAATCCAATTATACCTTTCTCTATTGTGTGGGCCAGTTTTACTGTCTATGTTTAGTACATTTTTTCAGTGTATATATTTTTCGTTGATTTCTGGGACTTGATAGTTGATGTGTCTCCCACATAAATATTGGTCTGTTTCAGTTCTGTGACTTTATTTGCCTGTTCTTGCACCAGTACATACTGTATTTCTATCTGTGGCTTTGTAGTTTATCTTAATATCTCACACAGTTGAGATTTTTTTACTGCCTATAAAAATAAGTTCCTTGAAGAAGTCGTAGTTGTTTTCAGAAGTATTTTCTCATTGTACTTAGGAATTTCAGAAGAAAAGTTCAGGTATGTTTGGGTGGGCTTTTCAACATCTCTGTGGAGGCAGCAAATTGGGTTCAAATAACTCATCTGCCACTTACTAATTCTGTATCATTAAATAAATTAGTTAAGTTTTATTATTTTCAGTTTTCTGATTTCTTGGGACTGATGTAAGGGGTAAACATAAATGCTCCGGCATATTACCCATATATATGCCAAAGGGTAATGGCCATCATTTAAGATTTTAAAAGCAGATGATTTTTCCTGTATGTCGTTATTTTTTCTCCAAATGAAACTTGGTTTAAATTCTGATTTAGAAGTTTACTGACCAGATATATAGTAATAGTATCAGCTTAAGTATGGCTTAGGTTGTTGTTGTACTCCATGATTATAAGGCCAAAGTCTAAGTCCTATTTTGGAAAGGTATAGAGTAAATCTGAAATGATAGGTTGAGTTATCCAACAAAAATATTTATTGAGCACGTATCAAGGCATTGTATACAGTCCCAGAGTAACTTATCTTTACGTTCAATAATGAGATTCTTACACTTAAGAACAACTTTAGTTATCCTCTAACCACAGGATAAGACACTGGGCTAGAGTTGGGTCCAGAATTCTCAACAATTCTTTTTTTTTTTTTTTTTTACAAATAGTTTATTGTCAAATTAGTTTCCACATAACACCCATTGCTCATCCCCACAAGTGTCCTCCTCCATGCCCATCCCCCCTCCCCCACATCCATCAGTCCTCAGTTTTTGTCAGCATTCAAGAGTCTCTCATGGTTTGCCTCTCTCCCTCTCCCCCACCATTTCCCCCCTTCTTCTCCCCCTTGTTCCTCAGTTAAGTTCCTCCTAGTCCTCCTATACGTGCAAACATATGACAGAATTCTCAACAATTCTTATCCAGAGAAAGAAATGGCATTTAGCTGCTCAGCCATTACTGGAGGACTAGCTAATTCTTTTCCTTTCTCAATCAAAAAAGTGCATCAGAATATAAGTGAGTGAAGTTCATTAATATATAGATAACTTTGAATGCATTCCTATTTTCTTAAAAATTATTAGTAAACATCAGTAACTTATTAATGGTATTAGTGAAAAAATTATTTTGGCTAGGTGTGTTCTTGATTCTTGGTGAGAATTGCTGATACATTCTTTAGACACCTCTTTATTTTACAAATAAGAAAATAGATTTAGAGAAGTAGGTGATTTACACAGAAATTAATAGCCAATAAATGACTTTATTCTGGACATAAGAGTGGAGAGAAAAAGAATAAGAAAAGTACATTTTCTTTTAAAATGTAACATATCATTTTGTAATTGAGCAAAATCATCTTCTAGTCTTTTGCCCCTGAAAAGGATATATTAGTAACTTACTGTTAAGTCTAGGACATGCAAACCATAAAAGATTATTCAGATTTTATTATTTTTATTACCTCATACTATCTTTCAGGGCCATAGAGGCAAGCAGGTTTATTACTAAAATGTTCTTACATTTTAAGGAGTTGGCAAGAAGACACCGGGTATTTTGCTATTTACTATTAGTTGAGTAGAATAGCACATTCCTTTTACATTTGCATTTATTTCAGCTAGTGAATCCAAAATTATAGAGGAATAAATTGAACCATTTTTTTTGATTCTGCTCTGGTATAGAGTAGAATGTGTCAAATGTGTCCAAGTATACCTTCTTACACTACCAAGCAGGAATCTAAGTGGCCAAGAGACTTGAATTTTGAATTAGAACCATGGGCTCTACCTATTTAAAAAATTAAATCGATGGGGCGCCTGGGTGGCTTAGTCGGTTAAGCGTCCAACTTTCGCTTAGGTCATGATCTCGCAGTTCGTGGGTTCGAGCCCCACGTCGGGCTCTGTGCTGACTGCCAGCTCAGAGCCTGGAGCCTGTTTCAATCTGTGACTCCCTCTCTCTCTGACCCTCCCCTGCTCACGCTGTCTCTTTCTCTCTCCTAGAAATAAATAAAACATTAAAAAAAAAAATTAAATCGAATTATTTTCAGTAGTAAATAATGACTTTATAATTTGAGATAATATGCAGTTATGTAACTGCTATACAACAGTTAATTGCTACAGTAGAAATTTGACATGTAATACATTTTTTTTGGTTATGATTTTTGTGGATGTGTTTATGTATTTGTTATTGTGTGTTTTGCTGTTATTACTGTTAGCCTTGTGTTTTAGCGGTGTTTTTTTTCTATTTTTATTTTCCTTAGAAGAACCATTTATAATATTTTTGTTTCCATAATTCAGACGGTATCCAACTGTTGAAAAACGAGCTAAAGTCTTCAATGGAGCAAGTTATGTGCCTATTCCTGAAGATGGGCCCTTTCTTAAAGCACTACTCTTTGAACTTAGATTATTAGATGATGATAAGGACTTCATAGAGAGTCGTGATAGCTGTTCACACATCAATAAAACTTCCGTCTATGGACTCCTCATTGGAGGTAGAGAACTCTGGCCAGTTGTTGCTTTTCTGAAGAATAGCATGATATATGCTTGTGTTCCACTAGTTGAACAAACTTTATCCCCTCATCCACCATTAATTAGCATTAGTGGAATTTCACAAGGCTTTGAACTTCTTTTTGGGATACAGGACTTTCTTTCCTTGAGTCAAAAAAATGACACTGAGCTAAATACAAAATTGAACCAGTTGCCTGATTTGCTTCTACAAGCTTGTCCATTTGGAACTTTGTTGGACGCCAACTTACAGAATTCATTGGATAGTATTAATTTTGCTTCTGTGATGCATTCACAAAAACAGCCAGCCTGGAAAGTTGGAGCATACAAAGGAAAGCCACAAGTTTCTATTTCTATCACTGAAAAGGTAAAATCCATGCAATATGATAAACAAGATATAGCAGATACGTGGCAGGTCGTTGGAACTGTCACTTGCAAGGTGAGATTTTCTCCGGTACTTGTTTTATCATACCATTTAACACTTATGGAGAAAAGTAAAATTTTCTAACTTTATTTTACATCATTATAGGACATTCTTGATTTTTCTCATAAACGGCAATCATAATGTTAGATTCGTGTGAAATTTTGTAACATTACCTTTGTGCATTCCTATGAATTGTGTTAGTTATATATTGCTGCGTATTGGTTTGCTATCCCCCAAATAAACATTTATTATCCTCATAGTGTTCTGTGGGTTAAGACTTCAGGAGCAACATAGCTGGGAACTTCTAGTGTGGATTCCATCATGAGATCACAGTCAAGATTGCAGCTGGAGCTATCGTCACCTGAAGGTTTGATCGGGGCTGGAAAAGCTTACTTGCAAGGTGGCTCAGTCACATGGCTAGCAAGTTGTTGGTGGGAGGGCTCTGCTCCTCTCCATGTGGACTTCTCAGTAGGCTGTTTAAAAATCTCCTCACAACTTGGTAACTGGCTTCCTGTAGATCGAATGAGAGATCAGATGAAGGAGAGAGAAAGAGAAAGAAGGTACAGGTAGAAGCATTCTTTTTATTACCTAAGCTGAGGTCAGATGACATCACTTCCACCACTTTGTTCATTAGAAAGAGGTAACCAAGTCCGGTCCACATTCAAGGGGACTAGAATTAAGCTCCATCTTTTGAAGAATAATGTCAAAGAATTTGTGAAAATATTTTAAAACCATCATACCTATTTTCCATTTTCTCTGAAAGGGTGACATTGACAAATTTCTGACTTAATATCTAAAACCATTTATTAGATATTACTAGATATCTAATTATTAGATATTTATTTAGAAGGTCTCGTGTTATTTAAACAAGTTGGTAGGTTAATATAGGATTCTCTGGCTAAAGGTAAGAAAATTGGAAATGATGATAGAAATAATACTATTCTCACTTTGGGACCCCTGGGTGGCTCAGTCCAGTTAAGTGTCTCAACTCTTGATTTTGGCTGAGGTCATGATCTCACAGTTAGGATATCCAGCCCCATATTGGGTACCACTGGGCGTGGAGCCTGCTGAAGGTTCTCCCTCTCCCTCTCCTTCTGCCCCTTCCCTGCTTACGCTTGCTTTTTTGCTCTCTCAAAAAAAAAAAAAAAAAAAAAATCAGGTAAGTTCTAGGTCCCTTCTGGGTTTTTTTTCCTTATTCCTGGTTTAAAGTCCAAATTTACATATGCCAGATTTGTTTAAAAGGGCCAGGTTTCATCTAGAATGTCCTCATTCTATAGTAAATGACTGATGATCTGATATTTTAAATGACTAGGTGGCAGATAATCCATTGGTGGTTTCTGTAATGGTTACAATTTTGCAACCCCTCTAAGAATATTAGACTGTTAGGGGGCACCTAGGTGGCTCAGTTGGTTAAGCGTCAGACTTCAGCTCAGGTCATGATGTCATGTTTTGTTTATTTGAGCCCTGCAACGGGCTCTGTGCTGACAGCTCAGAGCCTGGAGCCTGCCTCAGATTCTGTCTCCATCTCTCCCTGCCCCTCCTGCTTGTGCTCTCTCTCAAAAATAAACATTTAAAAATTTTTTAAAAAAAAAGAATATTATATTGTTAGGTTATTAGACTAATTTAATAAGTATAAACTGAATTTTTAAACATTGTAATAGTATTTGGTGTTAATATTTGCTCATTTTATTATCTCCATAAATATCAAAAAACATTTTTTCTGGTTTTTGCTAGTTCACATATAGAGAGTGAAGTAGCAGATGGTTTGAAAGTCAAAACACTAAAATTTTTTTAAGTTTTGTGGTAAGGTTATTGGGCATTTTTATTTTCAAATAGACATTATTATAATTGTTACCAAAAGACCTTCATGAGGTACTAATTACATGTGATGCTGTTCATAATGCCTGCCGGCTCTCTAAGTGCTTACATTGTATAGCAGATATATTCTTGAATACAGACATGTCAAGTAGTAGATAAAAACATTAAAAAAAAAGGGAAGCATGTTGTATTAGAATGAAAAATAAAGGTGGGGTCCACAATTAGAAAAAGATACTTGTTCAGTAAACATTTTTTGAATGTCTCTTGTACATAGCAATGTGCTAGGCACTAGAAATACAAAGAAAAATGTAACAATTTTTGCTTTCAAAGAACTTAAACCTTCAAGAGGGAAACAAATAGGGCACAAATACTTATAGGGAGTGGACAGTTATTGCACGATGCAGACTATGTATATGATAGAAGAAGTAGCTGCTTGCATTTGGAGCTGAGTTTTATAACTCCTAGGTTCTATTAACTCTTAAAGTATTTGTTCAGAGCTAGCCAGACAACATATCAATAAGCCTTTATGGCTCAATTGGCTAGTTTTAACTGGGGGCTTTAATAGAGGTAAATGTCAAGTTAGAGTTGAAGTAGAAAGGAAGAACCTGATTACCATGAACACACAAGTAAGGTGTATCATTCTGGTTGGTTCAAAAAAAGAGCCATTAGGGGTACCTAGGTGGCTCATTCAGTTAAGCATCGAATTCTTGATTTTTTCAGCTTAGTTCGTGATCTCACAGCCCTGAGATCAAGCCCCACATCAAGCTCCATGTTGAGCATGGAGTTTGCCTAAAATTCTCTCTCTCCCTCTCCCACTCACACTCCCTCTCATGCACTCGAATCCTCTCTTTCTCAAAAAAAAAAAAAAAGCTACAAGTTTTAAGGGAGTAAAGTTATTTAATATAGGATTTAGAGCATACTAAAAATAACAGTTAATTTAAAACATCATGAAAGCATGAAAAATGATTTTGAATTCTGTGAAGCTCATACCAGATGGAAGAGGAGTTGAGAGAAGAAGAGTTTCTGATCTTCTGATTGCAGCCTTCCAAAAACAGTCACTAATGACTGTGGTCCGAGAAGCCAAAATTCGCAGAGAATTCTGAGATGCCACCATGTTACAGCCTCAAAGAAATTCATGGAAAGGTCTGAAAAGTGCTATATCTGACCACCACAGCCTTAAAGCAGGAGCTCAGAGAGTGGTCTGTGAAGCTATCATGTCTGGCTTCTATAACCTCCCAAGAACACTGGCTTCTCAGCTGCAGGGTAGAGAATGATTAAAGAGGTAGATGGGAGCCAAACAATGAAAGGCTTAAAAGTAATGGAAAACTGAGGTGGAACTATTGAAACACCTTGGGCATGAATACGGTATATTTAGAATTCTGTTTTGTTAAGACAGTTCAGGGACGCCTGGGTGGGTCAGCTTAAGTGTCCGACTTTGGCTCAGATCATGATCTCATGGTTCGTGGGTTCAAGCCCCGTGTCGGGCTCTGTGCTGACAGCTAGCTCAGAGCCTGGAGACTGTTTCAGATTCTGTATCTCCCTCTCTATTTGACCCTCTCCTGCTCACACTGTCTGTCCGTCTGTCTCTCTCTCAGAAATAAACATTAAAAAAAAAAGTTCAGGAGGATGGATTGATTAGAGGAAAGCAAATCTAGATACATTTGGAGAGCTGTGACAGAAATTGCTGGCGCCTGTACCATTGTGTTTGCAACAGGAATGGAGAGAAGTCAGTGGACTTAAAATAGCTTTTTAAGGGTTTGGAGGGCTTTAGGGAGTCTCTCCTAGTCTCTGACTTGGAATCTGAGAGTATGATAGAACCACTAACCAGAGTACAGAAGCCAAGAGCAATACCTGGAAAGAAAAGGGAGCTAGGACTCAGGTAAATTCAGAAAAGCCTCACCCAGAAGATGTATGCTTCTAAGATCTTGGTAATCTGTTTCTGTTTTTATTGCAGTGTGATTTAGAAGGGATCATGCCAAATGTTACCATCAGCTTGAGTCTCCCCACCAATGGATCTCCACTTCAGGATATTCTCGTTCATCCTTGCGTGACTTCTCTTGACTCTGCCATCCTGACTTCTAGTAGCATTGATGCGATGGATGATTCTGCATTTAGCGGACCTTACAAATTTCCACTCACACCTCCATTAGAGTCATTTAACTTATGCTACTACACTTCCCAGGTAAACAATCTTGGCAAAGTTGTGACTGCAAATCTTCATGTTTATGAATTCTGTTGTAAACAAATCATTCATACTTTTGGCCCACATGAAAACTTTTTATCATTTATTTACCAGACAATAATTGATGAATGAAGATGAAGAGTCAGTTCTTGGAACAGGATGCCTCTTTTCTCTGGCATCTGTTAAAGCATTGAATTGTTTTCAAAGCCATGGAAGTTCTTTTTTTTTTTTTCTTAATGCTCCCTCATAAGGATTCCATGGTCATAGAATCGATCCTAGTATGATTTAGTCATGGTTTGAGTCATGAACATAAAATACCTGTGATCTCAGGCGACTGTGGTTACAAATACATAATATTATTTTTAAATATTATTTATTGAATAACTACTGTGTCAGACATTGTCCTAGGCACATTACATGTGTTTTCTCCAGTATTTTTAAAAAAAGCTTTGTTATAGGTATTACTAGCCCCATTTCACAGATGAGGAGGGTCTCAGAGAAGTTAAATGACATGTCCAGGGTCATATAACTTATAAGTAACAAAGCCTAGATTTGAACCCAGACTTTCCACACTCCAAAACCCAACCTTCTTTTTTTTTACTATACCATTTGTCTCTTGTCCTAATTGTGAATCAGTAAATTAAAAAATCCTACTTAAGGTAGTTTACCTAAAAGGTATTTATTTCGATAATGCAAGAGGCAGTCTTGTCATTCAAGGGTAAAAAGTATACCCAGCCTATACTAGGAAGAGAACCAGAAACTTAAAATTCAACAAGGTCTACACTATCTGTCTCATCTCTGTCTTAGTTACCTCTTCCAACTTGAATTCTCTACTCTAGGGTATACTACATAAATAGAGTCTATTTAATACTTTATTATTTCAAACGTACGAGAAGAGTGATTGGCTCACTTCAGCCTACAGATAGTTTCTCCCCCAATCAGTTACTGGTAATCAACTGAGTAAGCTACTGCTGAGCTAAGGGGTGGGTAAGTTAAGGATACATTTGGACAGATGCATGTCTTATGTTGCAGGTCATAGAGAACCTGGAAATATTTCTCATCTCTGGAAACAGGAAAAATTCTTGCCTTTAGAACAAGTGTAGCTCCATCATTTATTACCAAAACAGTTTGGAATAATCTGTATATAATCACTACCTTACTTTCAGGCCTTTTTCTCAATCATCATTGGCATTTTAGACCCATTAACCTAAGAATTATACAAAAATTTGTTTATGCTTGTTTCCAGGTCCCTGTGCCACCGATTTTGGGTTTTTATCAAATGAAAGAGGAAGATGTACAAGTAAAAATAACAGTTAATTTAAAACTTCATGAAAGTGTGAAAAATAACTTTGAATTCTGTGAAGCTCATATACCTTTTTATAATAGGTAGGAATAAAACAATATGATGCCATAATTTCTGCCTTTCTTAGTACCTTCCCACTGCCCTACAATAAATTGTCTTTGTTTTTTACCTTATTTTTAAGATCTAAAAATTTTATTTTATTCAAATGAATCCTGATTCTGAACCAAAACTTAGTCATAAAAATAATCTCTTTGAGGGGGAAGGGGGAAATGGGCATGGAGGAGGGCACTTGTGGGGATGAGCACTGGGTGTTATATGGAAACCAACTTGACGATTAACTATGTGTAAAAAAAAAAATCACTGGGAATGCTAATAATAATCTAAACAAAAAAATAATCTCTTTAACCTTTAAATGTCCTTCATTTTTCTAGTTAAACTTGCTGGTAAATATAAACTTAAACCAATATAGCTTCTTTAGGGATTATTTCATTCCTGGCTTTATTTCTAGCAGTTTCTCTGTGCTGTACATACAAGTCAACCCAACTATCACCTACCTGGTGAATTAAGCCAATTATATCATAAGGTTACTTTTTCATCAGTTCTGTTTTTAAATTTGTTCTACAGCATAATTCTTTTCACAGGATGCCAAAATCATAGTTTTAATGTTCTGTCAATCCATATAACTGTATTAAAACATGCTATGTGATTTTATTGTCTTTAGAATTAATAATGAAATGCTATCATCACCAAAAATGTTTATTGTGTTTCTGGTGTTTTTTTGAGATAGAATATTCATTATTCTCTTTTATTCTGCAAACTTGAATACAGATCTGCTTTATGTAATCCTTATATTAAATAAGAGTAGCAAGATTTGACTTAGATCTCTTAAAACTTTTCTGTTTATGATTACTTGTTCGTTCAATTGTGTCCTTTTCTTTTTTAAAGGGGTCCAATCACACATGTGGAATACAAAGTTAGTTTTGGCCAGCTTGAAGTATTTCGAGAGAAAAGCTCATTGATCTGGGTTATTGGTGAGATTTTGTTTATTAACTTTTTTTCATGTATTTGTTGTAGAATAAAATAGTTAAAAATAGTTGATTGGTAGGAGCAGCTGGGTGGCTCGGTGGTTGATTAAGCATCTGACTTCGGCTCAGGTCATGATCTCAGTTTGTGAGTTCAAGCTCCGCATTGGGCTCTGTGCTGACCGTTTAGAGCCTGAAGTCTGCTTCAGATTCTCTGTCTCCCTCTCTCTCTGCCCCTCCCCTGCTCATACTTTCTCTCCTTCAAAAATAAATATTAAAATTTTTTTAATAAAAATAAATTATAAAATAGTCGATTGGTGCATTTGTGTTTTCAGGACAGAAGTTCCCCAAATCAATGGAAATTAGTCTTTCTGGAACTATAACTTTTGGAGCCAAGAGTCATGAGAAGCAGCCATTCGATGAGATTTGCATAGGAGGTACAGCATATTTAAAGGTAAATACATTTTATGGCCACTACATTATAAAACTTTATTTTTAAATTGGATACATCTAATTCATTTTTAATGTTTCCTAGCTGTTTTCTGTTGGGGAAACTTCTTGTCGGTGCTAAGTCCTTTTTTAGTTTTTTTTTTGTGAGATTTCTGTTTAATGTTAGTCACTGTTTCACTTAATACTTAAAAAAATTTTAAGGTGAAACACTTAACTATAACCTTAACACATCAAATTAACTAAGTTCTATCTACCCAGCTCTTAGTTATCACATTCAACATTTGTATACAAAAAATAGAAGATGTAGCCCTTAACCTCTAGGGATTTTCCACTGATGCATGTCAATAATTGATCAGCGCTAACTGCTTTTGGTATTTGAAGGAAATAGTGAGCACTTCTGACCAAGTGGTCAAGGAAAACTTTGCAGTAGTAATGGAATTTAAGCAAAACTCTGAGGCCCAGATAAACATGAAAATGAAGCTTTGAAGATTGATGAACATTTATATAGGTTAATAAATGACTTAATCAAAAGAATGAAGGGTAATAAAGCATGCTTAGGGACCAGTGCTAGAAATAGTAGTAACACATAAGGCTGGATAAGTGATTTAGATCTAGATTATAGGGTTGGACGGTTTGCGTTCTGACTTTACTTCTTTTGTTAGAAAATGTTATACTTTTTTTGAGTATGGGAGTGGTCTTTCAGAAAACAATTCTTTACACAGATCAATTTGGAATGGATGTGAGAAGGTGGGTAGAAAAAAAATAATGAAACTTGAGACAGAGGAACTATTTTTTAGCTATGTGAGTATTCCTGATGAAAGGTAGTAAGTTAATGATGCTGAGGGTCACAGAAAGAAAGACTGCTGGACAAGCTGGGATAAAGGTAAACCATCGGTCACTAATTAAATATAGAAACAAGACATGGTTTTAAGCCCAAGATTAAAAAAAGAAAAATGTAGCTTAAGCCACACTTCAAACTCCAAGAGGGCAGAGACCACGTGAGTGTCATACAGTCATTGTTTTATCACCAACATCTAGTTCATTACCTACCAGAAAAATATCTGATGAAGGAAGAATATATTTAGAAGAAAGTACTATATGGAGAAATTTGGGAGGAAATGGGTTTCATATCATGTATGTTGCTGGTAACAGCAACATAACCCAGGGTAAGTGTCAGTAGGTAGTTTTGAGAGAGAGCTTAACAGTATATAATGGCTTAAGAGAAAAAATAGTTGAGGCAGTGGAAATGAATAAGATAAGAAAAAGAGAAAATAAGAGGATGATTTAGAAGAACCAGTGAGAAGAATCCAAGGGGGGGATCAGAAAAGTAACACAAAAATCTAAATCGAATGGTTTTCAAAGGAGATTGAAATCTGTATATAAAGATAATTAGAGGAAACGGTAATGAAGTCTGAAGTATACTAGTGATATTCATTTCTTCCACCTTGGCTTCAGCTATCCCCACAAGCTTTATTTCAAAGATTATTATAAAAATTCCTACTTCTAGATATTTTTCAGAAAAAATGTAGGATGTTACTACATTATAGGTCATGCAGAGGTAGGGATTCTGACTTTCGTAATATATTTCCATCACCTACTCGGTTATAATTTTTTTTGCAAACATATAATACATATTTATGTTTACTGAATAGACTTCTTTTATAATATCTAGTTATGTGGAAATCAGTCTTGTCATAACTTCCAGCATCTAGAGTTATACCGAACAAGCAAGAAAATGCCCTTTCCTATTAGAATTTGAGATGCGATAGGAAAAAAATTGCTTAGGAATGCTGAAAGTTTACATTCTATGTATGTGGATCAGTTAGTTTGGCAATCAAAAGGAAAAATTTAGGAAATGGGAGACAGTTGGAGGGATGGGAGCTAGAAGGAAAAAAAACACAGAAAAGATACCAGCATATTGCAAAATGGGGAGGTTTGAGCAGGAAATGTGAGAACCGCAGGAAAAGGAGACTGGCGCTCCCTCCGTAAGACATAGACCTTTCATGGTTCATGTGAGTATCATTGTGACTCAGGCACCCCACCACGGTCCTTCAGAGAAGGTGATAATGGCCCTTTCTACGGTATAGTCAATTGGCATTTATGCTGATGATGCCACACTATCAATTAACTCCAGAAATATGGATTGCATTTTAGAAAGGTTTTATAGGTGAGGGAAAGGATGATTTTTAAGCTTAATTCTATAAAAATTAAATTTCAGCTTTCTGGAAAATTAAGCAGAACGTCTCCTTCCCTCCAAACACCAGATAAACTGTTCCAGTTTTAGTAATTGCATTCTTGGGTTTTGTTAGAAAAGTGTATATTTACATTCCTGCCTGTAAAAGAATTATGCCCTGGAATATATCACAGTCATATAGCTAGAGAGGATATACAGAACACCAGACACCCTAGGGGAAGAAGCACCAGCTTTTGTTGACATTTGGGTCAGAGTTCAAATGCCAGCTCTGCTCCTTACACTCTGGGATGCTAATTTTTCCCATCTCTGAACCTCATTGCCTCATTTATAAAATAAGGATGCTTTGCAGTATAGATTAGTGTCCATATTAGTGAAGTGTCTGGTGTGTGCTCAGCACTTCATAATGACAACCTTACAAAGAAATGGTCTTAGTGCAAAGGGGAAAAGGTGTGCATGCATGCACACGTACGTACGCATGTATGTATGCATGCATGTGCATATACATTTTTACTTTGTGAACTGTATCCTAAGATTGTATCAAGGGGGAAAATATAGCCATCACTTTTACCAATTTGGTATATTTCTCTTCTTTTACTAGCTTCATTTTAGGATCTTAGATTATACGCTCACTGGTTGTTATGCGGATCAGCATTCAGTGCAAGTTTTTGCATCAGGAAAACCAAAAATAAGTACACGTAAGTTGTAGAGATTCACATGAACTTGAGGGAATAAAATGGTGCTATGGAATTAATTACCTAAGATAAAATGTAACAGAAAGAGATTAGAGAATAATGCCAATTTATAAAAATTCTGACCTGATCCTATCCTACGTAACAAGTGTGTACTTTTTAAAAAATATTTACTTTTGAGAGAGAGAGAGAGAGACAGAATGTGAACGGGGCAGGGACAGAGAGAGAGGGAGACACAGAATCTGAAGCAGGCTCTAAGCTCTGAGCTGAGAGCACAGAGCCTGATGCAGGGCTTGAACTCACGAACCGTGAGATCATGACCTGAGCCAAAGTCAGATGCTTAACCAACTGAGCCACCCAGTTGCCCCAGTAATGTGTATTTGACATTTCCCTCTGCCTTCTCTTATTTATAAAATGGTCTGGATAAGCAAGGACTGGCAGAGAGGCAAGCTCTAGTATAAAGTTGGATTTGTTTTGCTATGGATATAATATACTCTTTTATTCAGAAGTTGTTCACAGGGGCTTTGGTGTTGGACAGACAAAAGTTTGAGTCTGGCTCAGACAGTTTATTACCTGTGTAAGTTTGGGCAAGTTAGTAAACTCGAAGTTTTAGTTTCCTCATCTATAATATGGAAATAATAGTACTGTTTACCTCAGGATTGTTATTTGATAAAATTGTATTGACCAAGTACATAGTGTGATGCTTATAGCATGTAGCATGGATTCAATAAATGTTAGATATGATGATTATTTAAGTTGTTAAATATTTTTAGCAAATGCTATAGTCAATGAGCATTATTTAGCACCCTTTGCATTTTACAAATGGGAGGGCAATAGAAAGAAGGTTTCTAGCCTTCAGTGAGTTTGTTGGTTATAATAAATATATATACTGTATGTGAAAATACAGTGAGACAGAAAGATGATTCATTTATAAATGAATCAATTATTTAATTCAGATCAAATATTTATACTAGCATAGAACAGAAAAGTAGCTAGAATGAGGCTAGATGTAAGCAGACCCCTTTGCCTCATGTATTAAGAAGAATAAAGGTATTAAAATCAGATATGTATTTCTTAAACTAAGGACTATAGTCTCCCAAGTAGGTAGGATAAGACAGGACTCTGTTCTTGAAAGTTTCAAAACTTAGAACTATAGAATTCTAAGCAATTGTGAATGGCAATAATACATTCTATGTAATGTAACCAGAATAAGTCATATTCTTTACCTCCCTAGCATTTACCTGTTTTCTCATGTATCATTCTTTCGGTTGTATTTTAAAGAAATGCATAAACATGAAAGAATCTTCATAATGCATTTTTTTAATGAGGGCAAAATATGAGTTATATTAGCTTAGACAAACCAGTGGTTTTGTCTAAACACAAATATTTTGGATTCTATCTATGGGTTACTGCATACAAACAGACTAAATTTTAGACTGTCTATGGGACAATATTTAAGTTGTCTATGTTGTCTCTTTAGGTAATATCTAAAATATTTTAAGTATCTTATTAATATTAACTAAGCATGTCGTAGTAATTCTCAGAAAACATCATACAGGATGAGATGTTTCAGTAGTATACCTGCTTTGTAGTGTAAAATTTTAATATAAACTAAACTAAAATATTAATATAATAATTAATATGTTGAATAAAAGGTCATTTTAAATGCATAATTATGACCAGTTTTTTATTTCCTTCCTCTGTTAATTTCAAAACATGGCTACCACTTTGTGCAACTATGTAAGACCTTTATTTTGCCATCATCTTGACGATAAAATCTATTTTTATAATATACAACTTGGTTCTGAAACAATGACAATAATAATGTTTATTTAAATAACAATAGCTAACAGTTACTGCTGTGTGCCAGGCACAGTTCTAAGTATTTTGTGCGTGTTAACTCATTAAACCTCGCGGTACCCTGTGTAAGAATGATCTTCACTTTACAGATGAGGATGCTGATGCAGCACAGGGCTTAGGGTCAGATTGTAGTAGACGGCAGGGCTGGGAAACAAACCAAGCAGGCTGGCTCTGGAGCCGGCCTGTTTCACCAGTATGCTGTGTTGCCTTTTGACGTTACTAGGTTCTCAGACTGAAAGAGATAAATGAATAACAAGGTAACACATCCTACCCATATCTTTTTCATTATGAAGAAGGACGGTAGAAAAGGCAGAATTAGATATGTAGTGATGTGTGTCATAACTAGATTTTATATGGGTCTAGCTCCAAATGGGCATTATTATCTCAAGTTTGCATATCAGAAAACTTGAGTGCAGAGAGATTGTCATTTGTTCAAAGCTCTAAAGCTATTAAAACAAAAAGCGTAAATTTGATCAGAACTTTAAGAAACCATTGAAGCAACTCTTTAAGAATATTGCTAGAAAGTTGGATGTTTATTTCTATCTCTGAAACTTTGAAAGGGTAAAGAATAGTAAGATCAGAATTAGGACCATGGTGAAGAGGTTACAGAAGGGAAACCAATAAAAAATTTTTTTAATTTTTTGTAGTTGACATATGGTCCATAAGAAATAATTTAGGGAAACCATGAGAAAATTGATAAAAGTGGTATGAGTGAGGGATATTGGCATAAATTTGGCATAAATAAGCTCAAAGATGGATTTATGTATTTAATAAGCCCGTATTTTTAAAGTTGTAAAAATTGTAATGCCTTGATAAAGTGAAATTAAAGTGAATATTTCAGAGTGTTGCCTTTCTTGAAATAATTGTGTTCCACAATTCTAAAATATCATGACTTTGCTCTCTCATTGAATTTTTGTTAAGATAATACAGTCTTATCATTTATTTCCTTTTTCTGTAGACCGGAAACTAGTATCTTCTGACTATTACATCTGGAATTCTAAAGCTCCTGCTCCAGTAACATATGGATCATTACTACTGTAATTATCTCAGGTTTAAATAGGATTTATATGATGGTAACATAGCTTAAATCATTCATCTTTTATTTTTAATGTGTATGCATATAACCTATGAACGAAAAAAAAATCATTGAGTGATTTAATTATAAAATGCTCTTGTTTAATGTTTTTAGACATAGTTTGAAAGAACATTTTAAAAGCTAATATCTCCTCTATTTTGTTACCCTTTGATTTTACTCAAATGAGATTCAGAGCATAAAACAGTTGTGATTCACTTTAGGCTTATTTTAGACTGTTCCTGTGTCACCTTACCATACATGTTCTTTTTTGTCCCTGTGGCGGACATGACCAATCAGTTGTAGCCTTCTTCCTCCACTGAGCTTTCCTGGATGTGGGCTGAGGCTCCTCATTGCAGAGGTGCAGGCAGCCACTCCTAAGGGATTGCAGATGATGTGCAAGATAAAAAAACTCTTTGCCCTTTCAAACCTGAGTAGTCAGCTGCTATTTCAATGTGTTGTTATGAAATACCAGATACCACATCAGAACCACTGTAAATCTTTTGCAGGGGGGAGAAACAATCAATGAAAACAAAGGAATATTGTTTAAATAGTAACCTGTTCTTAATCAGAACTATTGTATTGACTAATAAAGGATCTGGATAATTCTATATGAGGTGTTTATCTCCGTTCTAGAGTTACTTTACTTTTTAGGTAAACTTCTTCATCTGCCACAGAACCTTTTGCTCAGTATGTCAGTAAACATACCAAGAGGAGTGAGTGGGGCAACTTCAGAAAATGAGCTTAGTGTCTTGTGATCACTTAATGCCTGCAGTCAAATTTTTAAAAAAATAAGTTTGGGAATATTAACTGTTTTTCATGTTTTGTATGAAAGTTCTTAATGAATTCAGGTAAAAATCCAAAAGCTGTTCTGTGAGTAGAGAGTATTATGTAATCTTATTTCAGTCTCATGTAGCATATTTTGTCACTCCTGCTTTCTCGTTAGCATTCTCTTGATTTCTTTAGGAACCACCCCTACTCTTAATTTTCTACCTGTCTTTACAATTATATGTCTCATTCTATTTTCACAGCAGTTCATTGTCAAGTTGGACTTTAAGTGATCATTCAAGAAAAGATGAAATCTCAAGATCCTTAAAACTTAATCCATGTCAGGTTTCTTTTTACAGAACAGAATTAGAAGCATTATAAAAAATATGCATTACAGATTCATTTAATTAAATGATCTCTTGGTTTCTATTTCTTAATGAGCCTCCTAAGGAAAAGCTTAAAGAAAGCTTCTAACTCCTTGAAAGAGAGCTATGATAGTTTGAAGGGTTATTGCATATAAATTTAGGATTTAAAATATGATTTTTTAATTGGGGTCAATCTCACTCATTATAAATTCTCATTTTCTCAAGGCATTATCATGGTAGAATGCTCTGTGTTCAAAATTATTCCAAGTAACAAAGAAAATAGAATAACTGCCTGACCAGGACTTTAACTTATTATTCTAGCTTAATCATAGATAATCAGTAGTAAAAACTTTTCTTTTGAAAGAAGGAAAAAGCCACTTCCCTTAAGTTATTTGATCTCTCTTAAACTCAAGGAAAGCATAACGTTTAACTTATGTTAATATTAACGGAGCCATTTGGACATCTTGATTATTGTATAAATGTTGAGTAGCGTACATAAGATGGGCAAGAGGCATTTATCTAGTAAGTACATAGATATTCAATATTATAATCCCCCAGGGAAAACTTTCCTTATAAGCAGTCAGAAAAACCAGTGAATCTTTGATTTGACAGTTTCTAGAAGCCTGAGGAAAATCTAGGGAGTCCTGGAAAAGTATAGGGCGAAGGGGAACCTGATGCCATCTGTTGCCATTCCATTCTAACATAATGCTACAGAACTAAAACCAACTCATGTTTTCATCCTGTTGAGATCAGCTGGGCACACTGTGATGCTTTTGATTTTGTCTAGAAACCTGTCACTTCAGGATAATTTTTGAAGACAAAGTCTGTTTCCCGTTTGGTAGGTGACCTGTTTAATGTTTTCCCTGTGTCTGGGAACTCCTTAGTGTAATTAGCGACCTTTGAACTCCACAACTAATCCTGAGCTATTTTGTATTCCTTACTCATCTTTAAGGCTGGACCTTTCTTTTCTTCAGAGTCCGCTGCCACAATTAAAGAAGAAACAGCTGCATTTCAAAGGGATTCCGATTCCAGAAGCTTAATCGTGATTGACATGTTCTTATTCTAAGCTATAAGACACTCTAAGAGTCCTTTCTTGGGTTAAAACTTCAATCATTTTCTAAAAAATTATCTCACTATGGATTTTATTCATTTCTTTGATAACTATTCTTTGCATTTTTAAACTTGAAAGATGCTTTGCGTTTGTGGTGAATATGAGCATCTACTTCTAGTTAAAGATTTGGATGGTGTCAGACATACTCTAGATGCAGAATTGCTAAATTCCCTTTCAGTGCCAAAATATGATTATGAAATCTGATGTCTATCGTAAGGGTAATTATTCTTCCATAGACCCCAAAGGTACAAAAAGTGTTAAATTTCTGAAAATGCACTCAAAAAACTAGTTCATGGTTTTCATAAAACCCCCTTCTTCATTTTTTACTAAGCAATGTTTTTAAAACTTTGTAAAGCCAGCAATATTCTTAGAGTGTAAGGTAATACCTTTACACTGGTGGGCACTTTTACTTTCCCTTTTTAGATAACCAATTTGAATGTCAGGTTTGAAGTAAATGGCCTTGTCAGGAATTCTTAAGAGAATTATTTGTATAAAAAGGCTTTTTTGATTAAACAGTCTGTCTCCTAAACTAATTTTTTCACACAAACTCAGTATTTCTCAGTTAAAATTATTGTGGTTTCTTTATATTGTGTGACTGAAGATCTTTCCAAGCACAATTCTATGTACAGTAACAACTAATATTTTCTTTCATTTTGTATTATAGTATTTCAAACTGCTTTATAGATACTCATATACCCCTACTCTCTCCCCGAGAGGCAGGTAGGTCGAGTTATCGTCGTCCAGAGCCTCTGCGGGGACTGCTGCTACAGCAGAACGGTTGTTTCTAAGACAAAGGTCAGAAAAGGGATGTTAATAAACAGCCCTCAGGTTTAAGGGACTTTTTTAGGATTACATCTTAAATTCCAACAAATCAGATTTAGGAGTTACTGAAAGTGAAATTGATCCATCCCTCATCCAAACTTTGCAATACTTTCCTGTTCTGACATCATTTAGATAGTTAGCTGTATTATCAGATTAGAAACCATTGTGCCCAGCTGCTGAAAGGAAGAGGAGGCAAAAAGCTAAACATGGGATGAATTCTGAACCTTTTAACCTGGCTGAAGTACGTTGGTCCCTGTTATGCAAATACCTTCAATCCTCTGCTAAGTTCAGTGGAAATAATTTTCTTGAATGACAGGTTTATTCAGCAAGGATTCAGTTGGTGATTAATCCCCCTTTGATCTAGGGTATTTCACTTAACTACCAGTTACCTCGTTCTGACAAAGTGCAACTGAGATTAGGGAGATCACTAGAACACTACCAGGGTGTGCGTTTATTCTCTCTAACCTTTTAAAGGAAGGGCCAAGAATGCAATTTATTTTCAGTATTTGAAGATGTAAAGTCCTGTCTGCTAAGTTAGAAAGTCAATTGAATACCAAATGAAGTTTATTTCTTACGTAATAGAACAAACATTTCTTTTTGCTTTGACTAACAATGATTTTAGGAAACATAGGCTTTGAAGAAAGAAGAAACAAAGAGTATATTCTAAGTATATCTTCTAGTTTTGTTTCATGTACTAGAGTGTATACATACTGGCCCGGAGATAAACCCCAAATCAAAGCAACGGCTACAACTTGGGCTGAGAAAATGCTTCTATTTTTATTAAACTGCATGGTTTCTCCCCGCCCTCCCCCCATTAAAAAATGTCATGCTATGTGGTAAAGAAATCCAATGGGGAAATGTGTAATACACAATTATTCATCTTAAGATTTAGGATTTCAAAGCTTTATTTGTTAACTTTGTTCTTTCTTGAGGAAAAAGGGCTTGTTACATTGCTATGATAAGGTAATCACGCTCTTTTTCAGAATGTTTTTTTCCATAAAGAAAGGTAAAATGATGCCTTTACAAAAATAATTCAGATTATTTTTAAGCTATCAAAATAACTGTTTTCCACTGTATTGCTCACTACTTTTTCTGCCTTCTTATTTAATTGGGTACCTCTTCTTCCATAACCTTAACTTTAAAATAATTATGTAATTTTGCACAATATTTTAAGAATAAAATCTTAAGATGTGTTTTATGTTAGGTTTCTCAAAGAGTTCACTTTTAGAAACTATTATCAACATCAATGTCAGTATTTATCTTCCAAGATATTAAATTTGGAGATTTATTTTCAAGAATATTTCAAATATGTTTCAAGACTGACTCTTAAAAAAAGAAACAATGGTGTGTAACAAAAGTGTTTTTGAATATTAAATTATTATTGGTTAACTTTATTATTACTGACATGGCACTTTTTAAATGCTTTATAATTGTTCATTATTCTAGTAGCAGTTCGCAGTGTAAGTTACATATACACAATAACTTTCTTACATTTTTTGACCCAAACATTTTGTGATCCAATTTCTAAACTGCAACAATGTCTTATGCATATCTAATTCATGCTGGTGCCAAACCAGTCTCTCTGGTTTCAATTTAGTAACCAGTCTGTTTCTAAATATCTTTTGAGAGCAAGTTACTTAACCAGAGGAAAATTGAAAGGCAGAAAAAGACTTAACATGTAAGGTCAAGATACCCTGGCTATATTGCTAAGAAACTAGTATTCTTAATAATTACTCTCTGCAGTCAATATTTAGTTAATAAAATGTCATATATTTTGAAGTATGCTGTCAGAGAAAGAATCTACATAAAACGTGTACACATATGTATTTGTGTAATGTAAATGTTAGTGTATATATAGTATAGGGATATACATATACTAACATATGACTTGGTGGGTTTCCCTATGTATCATGTCAAAGGAAGACTATGTGAAGTCAAGTATCTGCTCTCCAAACATATTTATTAATAGTAATGGAGAGGTTCATTAAAATGAAAATTGCCATAGAACTCATGCAATTACTCCAAAAGATGGTTACATCCCTTAGGAACTGAAACCTTTTCTCTTAGGCACTGAAGCCTTTTCAACTAGCTTCTAATTTTTTTCTTCAACTGTTTTATGGAGATACTAATATTGTCTATGTGTAGCCTGGAGAAGTCAATGCCTTATCTGTATTATGAGTTTACTCTGAGATCCAGATTGACTTCTCTAGGCCCTGACTAATCTGTGTAATTGTTGGCAGTGTGGTGCTAATGTATGATGCACAGCATTTACGGATTGTCAGGTACCCTGGGATGGAAACCACCTGCTGAATTGTTTTTTCCAGTAAGATGTGTGGAAATTTATTATGTCTTAATAATCCGTTAAATGTTTGAGGTCAAACTGTATGTTTCCTTTAAATGTCTTCTTTTTAAATCATAGTTTCTGTAAAAACAATATTCTTTAGTTAATATGCTAATAATAGAAATGAAAAATAAAAAAATTATTATCCCTCTTAAAATTTTTACTTTTTCTTTCAAAGGACTTGAGTGCCCTCTGCAGGCTATAAAGAGATAATTAATGACTATATTTAAACCCTGTGACTTCCCTTTTAGAAGCATAGCCTGGATTAAGTGTGATCCATTTTATTCATATTGTTAACTCTGTTCATTTGTCACTGATTGAAGCCAGAGTTTTTCTTTGCCAGTAATGTGAAGAATATTACCACTGAATTTTCCAAATTACTTAGCTGGGGCTCTTTAAATGTTGGAACTCTACACATTGGAACTAATGATACACATTCCCTCAAAAAAAGGAGATCAGGAAAACATTTAGCGATTTCCAAATCTATTGGAGATGTGAAGAATAACTTGATTAGTTCCCATTACATTTTTAGAATATTATACATTTGGTATAAGGCCTTTTTCAATATGCACCATGTAAAATTTTAAAATAACATATGCGTTCTATGTATTGATCTTATTGATGAGCAATGAGTGTGTTCAAGTCAAAAACCGAGGCTACTTAGAATTTCTTTAAAGAAAGGATTGAATAGATGATGCTTCGTTGTATTATTGTGCAACTAGAAGGAGCATTTCTATTGGAAGGGCAAACAGCAAAGGTTTCATCGAGTCCCTTATTTCAGTGTACCCATACTTTCTCAACAGGTATGACAGTTCTGTTCCTAAGGATATAGAAGTTCCTTTTGTACAGGCAAGTTCCAGTGGCTTTCTGATTCACTTAATGCTGCCAGGGAAACTAAATATGATGAGAACAAGAGGAATGACTAGATCAAATTAATAGAAATAGATCTTTTTGCAAGCAACATAATGCTCCTGATCATCAACCTTGAAAAGTAAATTAGAACAAGCAAATTACTGTTGAAAAATTCTTTCAGCGCTCTGCTGTTGCTACTCAGCTAGTCATGGCTTAGCCAGAGGCAAGGGAAAAATGCCGCTGTTTTGTATTAACAAAGGAAACATTATTAAAGTGAATGTTTACATTGTGTTTATTGAAGTGTTCAAAGAATATTTTTGTGTCTTCAACCTGCTGTTCTCTAGTCTAGTGCATGAGTCATAATAAAAATAAATTTTGTGCTTATTTTAGAAAAACAACCTGACATTTAACTTAAAATGTGTCTGACCTATCTTCAAAATATTTAAGTATCAGACTTTAATACTTTCTTTTTTGAAGATTTCCTCCTGAGAAATGTATCCCATAAGAAAGACTCATTTGCTTGAATATACTTTCCAATTACTTCTAAACGCTTGGTAAAACTTTCCTCCCAGAAACAACAATGCACAAGAAATAATGAGCTAAAAATAAACCAAAAGAATGAAAACAGTTGTGAAATTATCGAAGTGAGTGTGTAACAGTACGTAATATGTGCATTGGAGAAATAGCATGATAATTGTGAGAGCTTTTGTGAGCTGCAGTTGTCTTGAACTACTTCATAAAAACTAACCTGAGAATAGACAAGACAGCAAATGATAACATGTCAGTCTGACATTTAAAAATTTAAGAAGTAAATGGGTGCCTGGGTGGCTCAGTCAGTTAAACATCCAACTTCAGCTCAGGTCATTTCTCATGGTTCAAGGCCCGTGTCAGGCTTTGTGCTGACAGCTCAGAGCCTGGAGCCTGTTTCAGGTTCTGTGTCTCTGCCTCTCTCTCAAAAATAAATAAACATTTAAAAAATAAAAATTTAAGAAGTATTATATGTACTGGTAAAATGGGAAATTAATAATTAAAAGTTCAGAAATCATTTTAGCCTTTCACCTGTCTAAAATGAAGAACCGAAATCACTTCTATACTTTAGAAGTAGGAAAACTTATAGTATTTACCAGGGATTAAAATATATTTTACTTGGTACCTTAGTAAGTGTTGAGTGTAATTCAGTATTCTGTAGCCTCTTGTAGATTGACCAATTTTTGAATAATTTTTTCTTAGATTCACTAATAGGACAGGTTGTCAGTCTTCTACGTTTCAGCCTAAAAAATTTATCTATCACAATTAGCAAAGATCTTTCATTAGCCTATACTGTAGGCTATTGAGGACCTCTTAGCCAGATATTTTATTATTTACCATTTCTACAATGTATGCTTTAAAATTCAGAAAGAATTGATAAAAATTACTTAAAGGTCATCAATTACTATATATGTTTATATTTTAAATCAATTTTATTTAACATGTTTCTAAAGAACTTCTATCTTTGTCCATAATCTATGGAAAAAAATTTTTTTCTGAAATAAAGCAAATGCCAAGCCTCTCTGATTTTACTAAGGAAGTAACCAGGAAAAGTGGTTAGTAATGTGCATAGCTTAATTAGTAGTGGCAAGAGGGCTTTTTTTTTTTTTAAGTTTGTTTATTTATTTTGAGAGAGAGGGAGAGAGAATCCCGAGCAGGTTTCACAGAGCCTGATGTAGGGCTCGAACTCCTACTAAACTGTGAGATCACGACCTGAGCTGAAGTTAGACACTTAAATGACTGAGCCACCCAGGCGCCCCACAAGAGGGCTTTTTAACTCATGTGGATATCAGTGGCTTCATGCCCATAATATGAATTTCCTTCATATTAAAAGGACAAGCCATTGAATTTAACATTAAAGGCCTAAACAAAATTGAACATAAGGTATGACTTGGAACTAAAAACTGCTGACTAATCTAGTTGAAATGGAGGTCTTAATTTAATCCATAAAACCTTAGTGTGAAACTTTTATTGTACTCTTACTAAATGCCACTCTAGAATTAGACACAAAGACAGATAGTATCTGATTTTGAATGATACCTTATAACTCCCACAATGTATTAGCATTGTAATATGGAAGACTATACATTTGTTAATACAGAAATTATTGAAGAAATTGTTCAAAGAAGTGATAGTAGACATTCATCAGGCAAACAAGGGCATCAGAAGGGCAACATCATACTTGTGCAAGTCTATCTGACAAAACAGAATTCCAGAAACCTGAACATCTAACATAGTGTCTACATGTAAAGGAATATTTTTTGCTTCCAAATGTCTGAAATTTGGATAAATACAAATTCCTAAGAAAAGTAATTATTGCAATATTTAACTTCCACCCTAACATACACAATTTATGAAAGCACTTCTACATACTAAATATACATTACCCTATCCTATCTCCCCTTCCTTGATAATTTTGAATGCATAGTTTGAGATTTGCCTCTATTATCAAGAAAATAGGATGATGTATAAATAGAATTATAAAGAAAATATAAGTAAAGAATTTATATAACTTGATATGATAATATATGTTATAGTCAATTAGCGAATTTTTTCTCTAGTTCACCTATAGTAGAACTTGTACCTTTGGAACACATTCTTAGCCATGTTTCATTTGAGTAAATAAACGTGCACACATACACATGTGTAAAAGTAAAAGAAGAAGAATACAAGCTCTCAAGCACTGGTCTCACATACTAGTTTGCAAACCTTTCCCCGACTTCCCATACCAATATTTTGAACTTCTTGAGGACAATGACATTTATCTTCCCATCTGTATTCCCCATGCCACCAGAAACAAAAGAAGCTTAGTCTTGATTCAATGAAGTAGCAAAATATTAGTATGTAATAAAGCAGACTGTCTTTCCCCTTAATGATGTTTGAGTGATTATGGTTTTGCATCTGTATATAAAAAGTTCATTGTGCAAAAGGTGGTTCAGTCCACATTCAGCATAGGTGATTTCTGCCCCGTGACTGCCATCTGTAGCACTAGTGAGAGAAATGGCCACCATTTATGACACTTCAGGCAGACTGTGCAGAGCTTTGGCTCCGCCTGTTGGGCCAGCAACAGCTGAGGCCTGCAGTCGCTGCCCATCGTAGGACACATTCTCTGCAGTTCTGCTTCAGTGAACATTAAAGCACTTGGCATTTCCATCTTCCCTTCTGGAACTCATTCTACAATAGCTTTGTGAGTTCCCCACTATTCAACAGAGTTGATCCTGATTTTATTCAATAGATATGCCCTGATCTGCTACGACTCCTCTCATCCCATAAAGCTACAGCTTTCAGTGATTCACACATACTGATGAAACAGAGTCACCAGTATCCAAGAATCCCAAGTGACTATCTTGAACATAGCCATTAACATATATGGAACATATCCATATAATTAAGTGGTGTAGAGGAAATATGTGATCTCTGAAGTCATACACAGTTGATTCCAAAACCCAGCGCTACTATTTACAAACTGTGTGGTCCTGGATAAATTTACTTCTGTGATCTTCACTTTCCTCCTAGCCTCATAGGGTTATTGTGAGCATTAAATGACACCAAGTCCTCTGCATGGGTATTCAATCAATGCTTTTCCCTTCTGTAGCAAATGTTCAGAATGGCCTTTTCATGCCATTGTCTCTACCTATAGTTAGATGGTTATACCTTCAGATTCTCCCAAGTTGTATGAATTGTCCATTTGGGATAGCATTTGGCCTCGCTGGTTTTGTTTTGTTTTGTTTTGTTTTGTTTTGTTTTTTAAGTAAGCTGTATGCCCAATGTGGGGCTTGAGTTCACAACCTGGAGATCAAGAGTTGCTGTATCGACTAAGCCAGCCAAGCACCCTTTTTTTGGCCTTGGTTTTAAACATTCAGCTTTAGGTTATATTACAGGAATGCCTATTCCATTGCTTGGCTGGGTGCTTGGAATTAATAAAACGGCTGTAGAATTGAGTGGGTGTAAGTTTTCTAAAGCTCGCTAAAGTTTAACAACTTGTCTCATGGAAGGACATTCACTCAAAATTTACATATTATAAGGTGTGAAAAAATAGCACTCTGCCAAAAGTGAGACTGAATGAAAATAAAACCTATCCACAGGAACATTGAACAAATGCAGTAATAGCCCACAAACTATTGATAGAGCTTAATTCTGTCTGGAAGACTTTTCTGTATATCATCCAAGATTAGTCTGTGCCATTCATAACGAATTGTAACATGTGAAAGTCATTTCTTCATAAAGTGAACCACTGATCAAACCTGAGTCTAATGTCTGATAAGGAAATGAATACATTCAGAATATTCTGAAGCACACATTTAATGTATCCTGTACTAGGCTACAGGAAAAAATTAAGTGCTTGCTTTCCCAGAATTTATAATCTAAGATATACAAATGCTTTAAGCTGTTACCTTTTGGATTTTCTTGAAACTTTTTAAAATAAATAAGAGAAAAAATTGATTTAGTTGACAACATATTTTTTTAATGTCAAATTGCTTGATTTATTGATTTAATAAAGCACCATTTGAGTTGTCAAATTTAGCTGGAAATCAGAAGTTACAGGGCACTTAAATCTTAGTAATGCTAAAAAGAGTTGAAAATAGTTTGTTCTTTCCACACAGAATAGGGACATTTTGTTTTGTTTTACCGGCCCTCTTGCCCAAATTAGCTCTATTGAATAAAGTACAGTAAGCTGTGGCTGCAGAGTACTAACAGCAATGGGCATATTCCTTCTACTTCCCAAGGTCTGAGTCTCGCTGTTGTCTGAAAGTGGAAAAGTGAGCGACAGGGTAACATGGAGGCCTATGCGACCCTGAGGGAACAGCCCGTTGAAGACCACGCCCCTACGCCCACGGAGGGGCGGGGCTTCCGAACTTCCTGGTCCTGCACAGGAGAGTTCCATACGGTTGCCTGGCTGGTGGCGCCTGAGAACTTCCCAGGGGCTGCTCGAACCTACAGGTCTCATAGGTATTTCTCTTTGTTTCTATTTCTAGCAAATACACTGGTTTTACATCTTTAATAGTGATATAAAGTTTCCTCCTTAAGTTCAGATAAAAAAATGAATATATAGCAGTATTAACTGTGCTGGAATTAAAATCAAATTTAATAAATAATTAAAAATGAATATATATAAAGAAAAATATTGAGTAAGTAATAGTTCAGGTGGTAAACCGTGAACAGAAAGGTGGAGACACAGATGAGTGCACAAAATTTATTTAGGAGCTCTTGGAAAATCAAAGTTTGACACTTAGGGAATCTAATATAGGAATAACTCTTCATTATGCT